AAACAGTGACTAGACAAAAATGTCTTTTTTCCTTTTTTTTTGTTTTTTTCGTCTTTCTTATAGAGACAATTTTGGATCTATTAGGCCACTAATTCCTTCTGCTAAGATTAATCTATCGCATATTCTTTACCGGTTCTATAGGTAAGATAAGACTGTAGACAGAGAAAAAACCGTTGCGCACTGACAGTTATCAACAACTGATTCGCTTTTTTCGTCATTTAGTTGGAAAAAGCGTTTGAATAGAGATGCCGTGAGGTTTGGAAATTGAGAAAAGAAAGAATAGCATCAGTGAAATCAGAAACAGCAAAAAAAGGAATTACCTCTTCTGTTTAGAAAAAAATAAAAAAAAAAACTACCGCTGCTGTTTTTGATGCTGTCTAAAAGTTAGTGAATAAATAAATTACATTTTGACATTATCGATTATTATTATTATTATTTATTAGAAAGAGGGAGAAAGGGGATAGGAGAGGGGGATACTATTTCTGTTGTCATTTGTACCAAAGAAACAAGAACAAAAAAAAAAACTTTTTTTTTTTTTAGTATTTTGACGTTGGTATAGACTTCCTATACAACTATCAAGTCGTCAAGGACATTTAGACTGTTGTTGCTTTGGCTGCTGTAGCACCACCATCGTCATGCATCGAACGACGACGACCTTCTTCTTGGCACTGAAGACCATCCAGTGAATGTGACCAGTTTTTATTGTCGTCGTCATCTTACATTTTCCCAACAAAACCTCCTCTTTTCGATTAAACACACACCATTTTGGTGTAAATTTAATTCGACAAGTAATAAGTTTACCAAGAAAAAAAAAAAAATTAGACAAAAAATGGAAGAAAATTACTATTTTTTATTTATTTGCTTTTTTTTCCTTACCTCTCTTTTTCCTTTGTTTTTTTTTCCTTACTTCTCTTTTTCCTTTCTCCTTTGTTTTTTTTTTTTCTTTTCCTTTTGCTGCTGTTTCGATTGTTCACTACCACTTTTTTTTTTTTTTACAATCTTCTATTGGAATAATTTTTTGTGGTCATTGTTGGTCAATCCAAAGGCGCAGTGGGCTTTGTTGACTGATACCGAAGAATCTGTAATGCATGCAATTATTATGGAGTTATCGGTAGCTGTCAGCTCTTATATTTTGCTTTCAGTTACAGGTTTTTTTTTTTCTTTTTTTGAGACACCAGTTAACAGGTTTTCGTTTTTTTTTCCGTATCTTATAGATTATAAAGATTTTCACCAAGCTAATAATGTATTAATGTGCTCAGAAAAATTGTAGAAATATACTGTTCTTTCCACTTCTTTTCTCACTACTTTTTGCAGTTGCTGGGTTTTTTTCTTTGCTGGTTTTCAGAGAAAAATTGCACAAATGCGAATGCATGAATAAATGACCACTTGAAATCTTCGTTGAAGATTAATTGTAATTTCTATTTCTATCTGCTTTTTTTTTGGCCATGAATTTTTCTTTACGTTTTTTTAAATAGTTTGAGCAAACATTAAACTTTGATGCTGAGAATACTTAAATGAAATTTATTGCAAAATATTAGCAGCAGCGAGATTTAATTAGGACATTCTTTGTTTGTAACTATTATTTGGTTTTTTTTTCTTTTTTTTTTTTTTTTTTTTTTTTT